GTTGATTGACAATTTGACTCAACCTGCCCAAGTTGCACCCTTAATAGCAATGAAACATTTTTAATTGGACTGAACCAAATAGAGTACCCATGCATACATTATTTTTTGATTTTTAACTACTTTTAGATAAAAATTATTAATATTGAAGCCGAAGGAGCTATGGGGAATGGGCTACCCCCATTGTGTAGCCCAAAGAACCAAAAATTTAATTGATCTTGAGCCAAATTTTGATAGTGTATTAATAGTTTTTAAGGTTGATGGTCCTAGCTCGAGCCACACCCCAAGCATAATAATATTTGCTTGGACTTAGGACAGATACATGCTTGTTGATGCTAATTATAAAACTATGATTTTTTACAAATAAAAGTTTTTATTTAATTTTAGTTTATTATAAAATATATAAAATCTCTTTCTATTTATTAATATAAAATTTGTTATCTAAATATTATGTAATCATATTTATATAACTTCCAAGTCGACTTTAGAGGTTGCTTAAATGGACTTTGAATATTTGGCACCTGATTAGACTTCAAATCCAATTATCTCGGATTTGAATGTTGGACCTTCATCCGATTCATAATCAATTCGGATGCAGATTTAACCACATCCAATCCAATTAAAATCGAAGTCCAATAAAAATTATCATTTCATGCATATATTATATAATTATGTATACATTAGATAAAATTTATAATTGATAAATTTTATATTTTATATTTATATAAATTGATGTTATATATATATATATAGATAGATAGATAGATAGATAGATAGATATAGATTTATACTTTGAAGGTAATTAGTTTTTTTAAAACTTTTTTTTTAATTTTTTGGTCATTTTAAACACAATAAGATGGTTGTAGATTAAATCCAAGTCTAACCCAAAATTCAACATAATAATTGGATGTAGATATGGATCTAAAGATTTTATAATTGGATATAGATGTAATTATAAAATGCCACAATAAATGGGGTAATTGAGAGGAGAGAATTAGTAGAATGAGTTATTAGATGTGTGTGTGTGTGTGTGTGAGAGAGAGAGAGAGAGTTAACAGAATGATTAATGAGGAAAAATAACCAAAAGAGTTAATGAGAAAGAGAAGAGAGTTAAAAGTGAGTTAATGAGGAATGAGGAGAAATGAAAGTCTTAAAGGCTTAAAGTTGATTAGCTACTTGAATTATTTTATTCAATTTTAAAAATAAAAGTTCATAAAAACCGCAATAAATAAATGATAGGAGAGAAAAGAGAGATATATTGATATGACATGATCTATTATATAAGATAATTTTGGTTAAAAACATTTGTTTTATCAACGTATCAATAGTTTGCCATTTAGTATCATTTTTGTTAAGGTTATATTATCAAAAATGAAATTCCAAGTTGTTATATCATTTCGTATAAAAAAGTTGTTAAACCATACATAATCATAGATGTCATTGTCAAGCATAATCAGGTCTAATCGGATCATGGGACCTGATTATCCCAATTAACTGATAGTTCGGTTCTAGGTTTGTTAATCATTGATTTAGGAGCCATTACATGGTGTATTAATAGAATCTTGAGCTGCCAAATATGAGAATGCCGGTTTAAGTATGAATGGCCAATTTGTATAAAAGAAATTAGGGTGAGGATTATTTGGTTAAAACCGAAATTTCTGATTTCAGCTTTTCTGGTTCGACTATTTTGGTTTTTAGTCAATTTGGTTTGATTATTTCGGTAAGACCTCATTTAGCCGAGACCTAGGATGCAAGGGTAATATCCGAATCCAATCCAATAAACTATAGGTCTGATCCAATCTGAAGAGCCAATTGAATCTTACAAATATTGATTCAGATTTAAATTTGATAGGATGTCGCATATCCGAAAATGATCTGATCTGATTTAATTTGAAATAATTAATAAATTATTAAAAAAAAAAGAAAATATAACAATTTAAATAAAGAAAACAAAAAATAAAAATATTTTTCAACTATTTTCATCATATATGTACATATTTTTTATAAAAAATTAATAATATAAAATTTACAAAAATACAATATAAATAATACACGCACATATATATATATATATGATCGGAATCTGATCCGAAAATAAAAAAGAAGATATCCAAATCTGACAAAATAAGGTTGAACTTCGGATCACGGTCCAATCCATTGGCCTTCTAGGGCCTATTTTATAGAATAATCGGTTCGGGACTGATCCACACTGTCCCGACCGAGACCCAACCCAATGATAGATTTGATTTTGCTCTGCTAGTACAGTTTGGGCATCCGATGTGATAAAAGTGACCTCTAATCCAACTTGCCAGCTAGCACAATTGGCAATTTCTCTCTTCTTCTGTGTTGATGTGAAGTGTAGTTCCCAGTTCCCACTGCCCTGGGGCTGGGTCAGAATTCAGAACTCTCCTGTGGCTGTGGCTATGTCACGTCTTCACTCTTCCGGGACCTACAGACAAAAATTTGATGCTACCACTTTGAGAGAAAGGTGTATAAAACAAGCCAAACTATGGTTGCAGTGCATGGTCCCTGAAGCAGAAGCAAAGCAAAGTCTTTTACCTATTTAGCTTTACCCTCTACCAATGAGATAATATCTGTACCAGATTATTCTATCAACAAAAAGGCAACACAATAGTCTGATATTCTCTGAAAGGCAAAAATTCTAAAATTTCTTTCCCAAAGAGGGCCTGGGTCCCTATTAATACTACCGATAAATTTGACAACCCAATCGGATAAAATCCAGATCCTATTTGCATAATTTGTTGAACTAAATTAAATATTTTTAGCAGGAAGTTGCATTGATGGAGAAAGTAGGGCCATAGTGACTGAATTGAATGATTTATTGATGAATCTGCATCTGAAATCGAAACCAAACTAAGCTGGAAAAGGTTTACTGATGGATCAAGTATACGAATCCACCTATGAAGAACTATGTATTCAGACTCAGCATCCATTATCGAAAAGAAAAGATTGTCCGTGAAGATGGTTTGGAGAAACAAATCTATTCTGTAATGCAGCTGTCGACATCAGACTCTTCACATTGCTTTTTTATCATCTTTAAAAAATAAAATTAAATATAGGGCTATTTAAGCGCACACACATGAAACTGAATGTAACATGAGCATCTGAGCATGGCAAGGCACAGAACTCTCTAGTCTCTACCAGCACAACCTATTTAAATCCGTGTTCACACTTTTGTTTGCTAAGATTTTACCATTGCATCAAGCAACTGTCCCTATTTAGAATGTATTTTTCCTTCGATCAAGACCAAATCAAACGTGGGGGTCCAATTAATCCGTTGACAGCCCTAAACTGCACCAATTTAGTTCCATGCTGACTTTTCTTTAATATATATTCATATCTAATATTTACTTTGCTACCAATACCACCAAAAAATCCAATTCGATACTGTTATTTTGGAGGTTTCTGGTTTCTAAACAATCCTTTGGCGGCAAAATAATTTTCCCGGTACATGGTTAAGGAAAATCTCTAGAGCTGCTGCAAATGCTGATGCTCAATTCCAACACTTTTTTTTTCCCAATAGAAGACCTGGAAACCCCTTCCAAGTTTAACTGAATATTGAACTTGGTTTAACTCTTTCCACTATTTTATTTGTAATAATTCTTACAAATAGATAGAGGTGTAAAATGGGCCGGGCCGTCTGCAGGCTGACACGGATAGGGCCATGCCTGACATGATCCGCTAGCTACAGTGACGGGTGCTAGGCTGGGCTGAGGTATTTTGGCTTGCGGCACAGCATGGCCTGCAGCCCGGCATGGCTGAAGCAGTTTTATCATGCATGTATCTGAAAAATGAAATAACATACACACACATATATTAATATCACCCGTCATTATTTTTATAATTTTTTGAAATGAAGTTAAAAAAAAGAATACAAAATCTAAAAATATGGATGAAGGCCTGTGGACTACGGGCCCAGGATCATGCTGGTCCCCACCACAACCTTCATGGTCATTCTGGCATGGCCTACTACAGTAGCCGTGCTGGGCCGGCAAGGCCCGCTACATGGTGGGCCGAAATTGTATCACTAGGATGGGGGATTCTAGAACAGACCATGCATTTGTATCACACTTTGAACCTTGAACCTCTAATTCCTAATGAATACATTAATTTCTATTTCTATTATTTTTTGTTTTTCCACTCACATCTCAACACTCATAATCACTGATTACCCTCGTGTTTTGGACATGTTGCCTCTGGACTACTCAACAGTGCTCACTCTGTACAAGATTTGCCACCCCAACAATGAGGGAAATGATAAATAAATGAAACTAAAGCATGTTTATTTTGGATTTTTCACGTATGGATTTAGTAAATAGGTCAGAAAAATTTTAGTTTTGTTAAGCAGGTAAGACAGAAGTAAAAGTACAATACAGCATTTTGTAATTAAAAACTGAAGCATGGGGCATGTTCCCAGGCATAGGCAAGATTACAATCTATATGTACAATTTTTGCTTGAAATCTGTGGGGCATGATGGACCGATATCTCCTATTTCAAATTTCCAGGAACATATGCTTTTGTTTTCTGATAGGGGAGTGATTATTTTTTTGATAAAATGGGCAGAGCTCTACTGAAAAGGCAAAGCACTGTTGAATATCAGAGAAATCAAAATAAGGGGGTACATTTGTCATTTAAGCATGCATTTTATGAATTATGATTCGGGGTGTGCCCCCTTTACAAAAAATGGAGCGCGCCCAAATCACTCCCCTTTGGATAGACATTTTGTTCTCTTGTTTCCTTCTTCAAGGCAAGTAAATAGTTTTGAGCTTGCAAATGTTCCTAAAAGCTTACAATTTTTTTTTGTTTTTTTTGATAAATAAAAAGCTTACAATTGTTCAAGTAACTAAATTCCTAAACGTTTGAAAAATGAATTATCCTTTATTTGAATTAGGAAGGAAAAGTACAATGATGTTTTGATAATATATGGTACATATAGAAACTTTGGATGCACAATGGTTAGCTTTCCACCACAAACACAGGATGAATGCACAATGAAACTAGATACCTGGCAAAGAAAACTAAAAATCCTTACCATACATCCAACTGAAAAAGATTTCAGGCTTTGAGATCCTTCAGTCACCTTGAAAAGTCCATGAACATCCTACTTTATTCTGAACGGTATATACAATAAGCAAATAGAATTGTTTTGCCAGAATGTGAACAATTATATTGTATATCCTGTAATTTCTCGTTTGCTTCACTTCTAGTTGGAGGTAAGACCAACGTAACTTGATATACCCTGCAAAATGAAAGATGCCATGAACATATCAATCAACAATCAAGAATGTAAAAGGTAGCCATATTCATCGACTGTGCCTACTTTTGCATTCAAAGATGCACTAAAATTATTTTGTTGTTGTGATGTTTCAGATCACATGGTGAAAATAATTTCAAATCATTATTTATTCAAATTGAGGTTTGATCAAATCATGCTTAAGACCATGGTTGTGTCTCCGCTTCCTGTATCTGTCTGTGGTGGTATCTGTATAGATATTAGAAAATCTTAGCGATACATAGTGGTTTCAAAACCCAATTGCTAGCATGCAGGTAATGGGATGGAATTCCTAGAATTAGTGGTGAGGTCTAGGGATGATTTATGGATGTACCTAGGCTATGTGAGTTTTCCCAAGGAATGTACAGGGTTACCACTTACCAAGACAGGCCCTAAACTAAGGAAAGATGGTACAGTCAGAATTTTAGAGTTAAGAAACCAATCACAGGGTTGCTCTTCATGTTGTTCTTAGAGATAGAACTATTAGCCTAGGAAGGAAATTAAATTTTTTACTCCTTCAAGTCAAATTAGTTAGGCTTGAAGATGCAAGAATCATAAACATCCAGCAAGAAAGAAGTAGCAAGAGAGTGGTGGAGAAGCTATACTTTGATGGGAGTTCTTTCGGGAATCTGGGTCCATCTGGCATTGGAGTAACAAGAGATGGAGAAGGGAAAGTGGTGGCATTGTATTCAGGGCCAATAAGAAAAGGTGATTCTCTAAGAGCTGAAGTTCTTCCTCTCCTCCAAGGGCTGAGATTGGTAAAACAATTGAGCCTCCGTAAAATTGAAGTAGGTGGGAGGGTGGGGNTCAAAACTAGTGATAGGGAGTTCGGATCCACAGGCAGGCCATGAGGGAGATTATAAGCTTATCAAGGGAGTTAGGTGCAACAGATGGGTAAGAAGATCAGCAAATGGCTTGGCTGATACACTAACCAAACAAGGGACAAATAGGGGTGAATTTGTAAATTGAAATCGTTTTGGGAGGGGGGTTTCAGTCTCTTAAAATATTTTAATGAATTACTTTTGGGGATTGGAGTACTCTCTTAATATATTCTAATGAACTACTACACTCATTTTTTTCCACAAAAATCAAATAGCATTGCTCAATTTATAGACTAAATGCAAGTGCTAGATCTCCCTATATAGATTCAAATTAGACTCAAGAAAGCATAAGAAAAGTAATAACAAAAAAAGACTCAAGAAACTGGCTAGAAACAGCTCCCAAGTGCCTTGAAACTAGAACGAACCCATAGGAACAACCAAATAAGAAGTTTTATTTTTAAAATAAATCTGGCTATTCACTGCTATTTTTTTACAAGTAATGAAAAATTTTATTAAACAATCAAAGATAGCAACTTCTACAGTGAGGCTTCCCAAAGAGAGGCACGAGATGCGGCCTCAATTATATTTTAGATTACAACTGAACCCAAAACATATGATCCCTATGTACCCCTTGCTTAGTTAAGTAGTCAGCTATCCCATTAGTCAACCTCCTTTCCGTCTTTCCCAAGGAAATTTTACAGTCATATTAGTGGTCAACCATTTAAATCTTTTAACTAATATGACTGTAAAATTTCTTTGGGAAAGGAGGTTGAGTAATGGGATAGCTGACTACTTAACTAAGGGGTACATAGGGATCATATGTTTTGGGTTCAGCCAAGGTTGGAGCTCTTTGTGTTTTGCTTCCACCTCTTTAGCAAACTGTGCTCCCTGCAAAACTGCTTGAAAATCAGCATGGATAGAATCCCCTATTCCAACAGGACCTGAATATAATGCAATTATATGCCTTTCGCATTCCTGAACACACCCCCTATTCTAGATAGTCCTGGATTTCCAAAACTGCTACCATCAAAGTTGAGCTTTATGAAACCTTTCTTCAAGCAGCAACCAATTTGAAGTAGGTCTAACCTTAACCTTTGAACTTTTCACCATAGCCCGCCCAATTTCACCATATATCATCAAATGATAACTAGGAAAATAAATCCAATGTTTTGGCCTAATGTATGGCCCTTTTTATGAGGCATTCCTAAACAGTCTCCTAATTTCTTTCCTTATCACTAAAGATTCTAGCATTTCTCTCCTCCCAGACTGTCCAAACCACAGCAGCCATAGCATATCTCCACAAGATTCTACCCTTTCTTTTAGGCCATCTAAAGGTGGCCAGGTCAAATAGGCTACTAATCTGCAAAGGCAATTTTCATTTACACCCAAATAGTACAGACAACCTTTTCCAAAGGCCAGCAACAATAGGGCAGGTGATTAACAAGTGGTAACAGCTCTCACCATTAGCTTTGCAAATGATACACCAATTTGGGGAGATGCAAAGAAAGCTCTTCTTTTATGTAGACTGTCCAAGGTGTTTAATTTTCCATGATAACTTCGCAACAAAGAGCTCCAACCTTGGCTGAGAGGAGGAAGCAAAACACAAAGAGTAAAAAAAGAAAGAATACAAGAAAAAGCCCTTTGGGTGAGGGGTCCAAACCCGACTATCTGGTAAAGTTGGACTCAAAAAGCGAGGGTTCAAGAATTTTTGGATTGGTTCATTTTTAAACAGGGAGAGAGAATACAAGGAGAGAAAAATGTCCTTAAGAGTAGAATTATCAACCGAAAGATCTTCACAAAACAAAATCTTGTCTCTAAGTTTTAACTCAAGGAGGGAAAAAGACCTGCTAAGATACACCAGCAGCATGTGGAGGTTTAGCAATGAAAGGAAGAAATTGAAATGGCTTACTAGGGGTATTGAGGTGAAGTACAGCTGGGTGAAAAGGAGTGCCAACCCACTTGCTGATGGTCTAGACACACAAGGGGCGAATAGGGATTCTTTATTTTGGGTTAATTTCTAACTTTTTCTTGTAGTCTATTGGTGGGGAGCTAAGACATTTTATCTCCCCCTTTCTTGTATATATCTTATATTTCTCTTATTTAATAAAAGTTTTCAGTTACTGATCAAAAAAAAAAAAAAAAAGAAGGCCTGCTAAGATACACCAGCATCCTAACCATTGCTAATAAGGGTTCAAGTTGGGAGGGCTAGGCCAACTTTTAACTCAATACAAGCCCAACCCTAAGAATTGGGCCTAAAGTCCAAGCTCAAGGTCAAAGGAGGAGAACTTCTAGTTTAAGTCTTTCACAAGTCTCCCTTAAGTTCATCCTTGATTGGTTGCAGTCCTTTTTGGATAAAACCTGTCCACTGTCCTATAACTATTCTAGTATTCTTGTGCTTCCAAAATAGGCTTAGCAGCAATTCCAAGGTCCCAAGAACATAAACCCTACATGCTAAATTCATTTGATCATACATTGTCCTCTCCTTTAGGCACGTCTTAATCCACCTAACAATACATGGAAGAATCTCTATTGCTTGTTTCTTTTGGATCCAAAACATCTAAGTTTAGTGTTCCTAGAATAGTATCTCCATTCTTGAAAGTTCGCCTTCCACTTTCCTGCAAGCTTTAGTTGTATCGACACTTCCTATACTTGAAGGTTGGCTCACCTCTTTATCTTCTTCATCTCTCACATCTTCCCAATATTGTCTGCATCTGAATCTTCTCTTTATTCTCAGTAGTACCTTGGATTATGTTCCTCTAGTATAGTAGAGTTGTACAGCCACTGGCCACCATACTAGCTCGAAACCTTTCCTGTGAACTCCACTTTTCCTCTGCAAACCACCAGTAAGAGGGCTTCCTTGTCTGCCTGCAGACTTTTTTTTTTTTTTGAACAAAAATAACTTTTATTGAAAATAAAAGAGGAAGTACATGAGAGGATGTATTGAAGCCTAGAAAGGGTAAAGTAGAATTACATAGGCAAACAGATGTCACTAAACAAGCTTTCTCTAAGAACCCTTGATTTTGTTAGGCTACCAGCAACAGTGTTTTGCTCCCTAGGAATCCAGACCAGCTTCACATTCACTGGTTCTAAGATATCCCTAGCTTCAGCTAGTAAGTATACTAGTTTCCAAGGCCCTCCTTCCTTCTCCCTTAACCAAGCTATAGTATTTGTAGAATCCCCTTTGATGGTTAAAGAGGATAAGCCTAGCAATTTAGCAAAACAAATTCCTGTATGTGCAGGCAAGACCTCTACCTTTGTAGCGCCTGCCCTCCCAATCGGACCACTATAAACCCAACAAAAAATCCCCCTTTCCCCTCGGATTATACCTCCAATTCCTGCTTGACTTGTAGAGTCTTGGGCACTGCCATTAAAGTTTAGATTTATCACACCTTATTCTCTAACAAGATGTCTCATGATCATCTCAGGTCTTGGAGAGGAGTGCACAATTGCTGGAAGGTTGCTCTGAAGATCATTCAAGGAGAGGCCTTTGAAAGCTTCAGAATCAATCACCCAAAAGTTACAGAGAAAAGTGATTGAGGAAGTTAGGTCTTCAGCATTTCTAGCTTTGTTTTCAAAAATTCTATTGTTCCTTTCTGTACAAATACCCCACAGGACTGCATGGGTCACCGTACTCCATTATAATCTTCCTCTTTTTCCTAGACCTCTGCCTTGTCATTGCCATCCCAACCATTGGCATGTCTCCAATACTTGCTCTTGATGATTTTTGTCCACAAAGCTTCCATCTCCAAGGGGTACCTCAACCATTTTCCAAGAAGGGCTAAGTTCCTTTCTTTAATATGTCCTAGCCCCAATCCATTGGCTTCCTTAGGCTTGCAAACCTGGTTCCAACAAACTAATGGCACTTCCTTTCACCACCTCCTTCCCATAGGAAATCCCATTCGAGCTTTTCAATCTTACTTTTTACTTTGCCCAGGACTTGGAAAACCGACAAATAATAGGTTTGAAAATTGGCAAGGGAAGCCTTAATAAGAGTGAATCTTCCCCCTTTGATAGGTAATTTTCTTCCACATGGCCAGTCTTTTCTCACATTTTTCCACCACTGGATCCCGAATGCATGCGTGGATTCCAAACGGCCATTTGTGGGGGTGACAGCTGGATCGATCAATAAACCCTCCTTTAATGCTA